AGATAAGTATTTAAACTAATAAGCTTATTAGTAGCTAAGTTATTTTATAGTTATAAAGTACTATAAGTTCTTATAGTTAAATAGAACCTGTATTAGATGCGCTGCACCTTCTAGTTTAAGTTGCTATTATTTAAAGTAGTGTACTATAGCAAGTAATTTTTTATTATAGATTTTATAATTACCTTCTGCAGGACTTATTTTTTTAAGAAGTATATAATAGGCTTAATAGTCCTATCTAGCTTAGTCTAGAAAAGAACTTCTGCTACTATGTAGTCTAAGGCATTAGCTTCTACAAGTATTAGTAGTTTAAGGTTAAAGTAGTAGAGTATTAAAGCTTTAGTAAAGGCTTTTTTTAGCTAGTTAAAAAACTATTAGTAATTTAAGTTAAAGTTAAATTAAATTTTTTTTTAGTAAATATAATTATAAAGCTTACTTACTATAAAAAGTTATTAATAAATTATTAGTAAAAGTTAGCAAATTTTATAAAAGCTTAAACATCTTTTATATTTTTTAAGTATTGCTAATCTAGCATAGTTTAAACTTTAATAGAGTTTATTTAGATACTATTTATAGAGATTATATATCTTAAATATATAACCTTTAATTAGTAGAACTTGCATTTATCTATGTTAAGTTATAGACCTACTTCTTCTATAGCTTTTAGCACTAGGCGTACATGCTATTTATGCTCTAAAAGGCTATTACTATAGATTAGAATATTATTAATATACATAGTATAGAACACGTCTAGGTAGGGTTAAAGCAAGTTATTTATAAAATGTTAAAAAGTACTAAGCGTGTTAGCTAAGCTAAAGGGCATTACTAGGTACTTAAATAGTCTATATTAAGTCTAAAACGCTATTAGCTACTTATTACCTTTTACTATTCTTAGCTTATTAAAGGTAGTAATAATATCTAACTTTATAAAATACTTTACTTTACTTAGTTAGCTTAAAGTTTTTTATAAAAAAAAATTAAGTATTAGTTTTTAATAGTAACAGTATTTAGTCTTTAGTAGTTAATATAGAATTAAAGCCTACCTCTAAGTTTTTTTATAAATAGTATAAGTAACACTACTAGTAAGAAGCTAGCTTAAATAAACCTTTTTTTTAGGTTCTTATTAAAGTATTTTTAGAGCACTTTTAATTTATTTAGTAACATCTTATATAGTAGCTTATAACTAGGTTGTTTACTAAGCTTAAGAGTTATTTAGTAATTATATAGATGTTATATTAAAAGCTTATTAGACTTATCTTAGAAAAAAACATATAATAAGTTATAGTAGTCTTAAAAGACTATTATTCTTAAGTTAGTGCGTTTTTAGAGAGCTAAAGCTTAGTCTATATTAGAAATTATAACTATATAGATTTTATAATCTAGTTATTAAGCTAGGGTTATAAATAAAGTAGGTCTTATATAGTAGATGTCTATTTACTGTTTAAGTTCTAGTTTATGTTTAAATTAAGTAAGTAAAGATTTTATAAAGGCTTTCTTTTCTTTAAGTTTAAGTAGTTATTAAATTATTTTATGTAGCTTATTTTAGTAAAAGGCCTAGCTTATTAGCCTTACTTAAGTAGTTTTTTTCTAAAATATTAAAAAGTAAGTTTAAAAACCTTCTATATTAAGTGCTACTTAGGTGTTATTTAGGTGTAAGTATAAGCATATGTCTTAGCATTAAAAAGAGTTAAAGTTTAAGACTTACTTTTAGTAATTAAAGGTAACTTTATGCTAATATAGCTATAGTTATTTTAAAATTAAGTTATAATATTCTATGTTTATTACATAAAGCTTAATCTGCTCTTTATAGTGTTAGTAGGTAATTATAATAGTTATAGTATAAAAGATAAAACTTTTTTTAAGTTATTTTTTATTAAATTTAGTTAAGTAAATTATTTAAGTAAGTAGTGTTAATTAAAAATTTAGTTTATGCACTAGTTTTTTATTAATATAACTTATACTATTTACTTTTAAGTTAATAAAAGCTTATATTAAAGCTAATATAGTTTCTTATTATAAATATATAGAAATATTAACTTAGTACTTCTAGTTATTAGTAAAAGACTTAGCCTATAAGTTAGTAAAGATCTAGTGTTAAATTAGTCCTAAGAGGTAACTTAGCCTTAGAATAAGCCTTTTTACAGGCTCCTACTGCTATAGCTGCAGCTATGTTAAGAGTAGCAAAAAAGATTAAGGCTTAAATATAAGTTAAAGCCCTTATAAAAATAAGATTAAAATAGTAAGAATCTTTAATAATGCTAGCAGCACTACTTATGTAGACTTAAAAAAGAGAAATAAAGTAGTTTTAAAAAATATAACTATACTTACTACACTTAAAGCATTAACTTTTTTTATTATAATTTTTACACTTTTTAGAACTAACTAGAGTATAATTTAAATTAATTTTTATTATATTAAAGTTCTTATTTATAACTGCGCTAGTTTAGGGGCGTATTAGGGCTTATATAAAGAGAAACCTTATGTTATTATTATAAGTAGTAATTAAGTTTACATACATGTTAAGGTTGTTTAGAAGGGGTTTTTCTACTATAGCGCGTTGCAGTTTAGTTAAAAGGGAGTTACATAAAGCTATAATTAGACCTATTTTATTTAGGCCTATATTAGATGTAAGTTAGTAGAACTTAGTAAAGTGTAAAGTAAAGCTTTTTTTTATTATAAAGTGTTTAAGTAACTTAAGGCTGTTAACTTTTTATTTAAGTTTTTATAAGTTACTTATAAAAACACTATAAATTAATTTAAGTTAATAATATTTTTATTTATTAGTAAGTTAATTAAAGCTGTTATGTTATAGTTAAGTTAAAAGTAGGCATATAGTAACTAAAAGTGTTTAGAGGGGAATTAGTCTATGTTTTTTTTAAGTTTATATTAAAGCTTATGTAAAAAAGAAAGTAGGTCTTTCTATTTTTTATTAAATAGTAAGGGATTAGAGAGTTAGTTAGATTTTATTACTAAGTTAAAAAAGTTATAAGTTATAAGCAGTATTAAGTAGAAAGAAGTTAAGCTATCTCTAGACTTCTAAGTAAGCTTTAAGGCTAGTAAGTTCTTAGTTCCTACTACTATAATAAAAGTTAAGGTAGAAATAAACTACTTAATAATATAAAGCTATTTTTTAAAGTTTTTTTAAAAAGCTTTAAAGCTTATAACATAGCAGCTTTTTTATAAAGTAAGCACTTTTTAAAAGGCTTTTTAGCTTACTTTAATAGCTTAGAGTTGTATAAGTACTAAGCTTATTAAATTAGATTTAGAGGCTATTCTTAGCTAAGGTTTTAACATAATATAATGTTATAATTATGCATAAGTAAGGTTATAGAGCTTTACAGAGGTCTAGTTTAATTACTACATAAGGTATTATAGTAAGTACAAGACATTATATAAAAAATAAAAAAGTTTAAAAGAAAATTAGTAATTAAATACTTAGCTTAGAAGTCTAAGCGCTTTAAGTATAAATTAAGCCTGTTCTAGGTTTAGTTAGTGTTAAAGTAGTTTATGCTTAAGTTTATGTCTGTGTTGTGTTGTGTTTATGTTAGACGTGCACTAATAATACTCTAGTACGCGTCTAATACAGTTATGTCTAGGATCTAGGGAGGATACCGTGACAATTAGCATAAACTAGCCTAGTATGTTTAAAAAGTGTTATTTAAAGCTTAAAGTAAAGTTTTAAGCATAAGTATAGTTAATAAATATTTAGCTTATAATAAAGCTTATTTTACTAAAGTTGTACATGTTATTATTCTAAATGCTATACTTAGCTTTAATATTCTTTATAAGGCTAAACTTACTTTAAATTACTTTAAAACTTTTATAAAAAGCTTTTTTATAGTTATACTACACTTAAATGTTACTTTAAGCTTTAAATAACACTTTCTAAACATACTAGGCTAGTTTATGCTAATATAGCCTAGATTACACTTAGCATGTAAAAAATTAGCTATATTAGCTATAAATGCTATTTAAGAAAAAAATCCTTACACATATAGCTTAAGTATAGTCTTAATAATTACCTTTTTTTATTATTACTTAGCCTTTATAAGTTAGCTATAGAATTAGCTTGTGAAAGTTATCTAGTGCTATAGTTATTTATTATCTTTTAAAAAACTTTATATATAGCTATAGCATGTTTTTTTAAAAGTTTTATATTTTATTTAAAAGCTTAGAGTATAAGCTGTATCTAATGTTCTTTTAGTGTGTCTAAGTAGTGTTATTAGAAATGCATTAGTGTAAAAAAAGTAGTTTAGTAAGGTCTTAGTAAAAGTAAGCAACTTAGGTGTGTAAGCAACTTGCCTGTGAAGTATGTTAACATAATAGAGAAATGTTCTTTTGTCTAAAGTTATATTTTAGCAGTAAAGATAATCAACAGTATAATAGCTACTCTACCTCATCTTCTGTAATTCTAGCGTAAGTGTTGAACAGCTCATCGCTATCAGCGTCCTACGCGGCATAAGGTCTCATCTTGTTAGAAGGTTAGTTACCTACAAAGACAGCAAAAAAAGAACGCATAGTTATATAGAGCAGGGGTAGAGTTCCTGCAACAAACAGAGGGAGGATGTTAAGAGAGGAGTGTTGTAGATTTCATAGACTTTCAGTTTAGCAAATACGCTTAGACGGACTTAGATTAGGAGCGCTAATAATTGCTATTTTTGTCAACCCTTTAAAAGGCCTCTGCTCGCCAATCTGAGCGCACGTGCAACGTTCTTGGCATAGAACACTGGTGTTCGGCGGATGTCTTGAGCCGACGAGGAGTGCCGACGTTCTTCCGGCCCAGCCTCCATTGTTGCATCCTCTGAACTTCCCCTTCTTCCCCCAAACCCCTCCCTGTCTTCTAACAGGCATTAGTGGGTCGTCGCATGAATAGAGGCTTCGTCCCTGGCCGCGGAAAGATGGCCTCAGCGTCGAAGGAGTGGAAGGGGTACGAGCCTCAACCGGCATATAAGGAGCGTTAGCCCTTATCACCGTCAAAATATCTTTTGAACACTTCTCTCAGTATGGAATGGGACGAACGAGCAGAGCTTGCACATGACACGCTGTGCGACGAGTGGTTCAGCAAATTCCGAGCGCAACGAGGCCCGACTATTGCCAACTGGATCTCTTCTTTCCGCAGTGGCCACCCAAGCGAGATTGTTGAAGATCACTGTGGTTCCTTCAATTGGAGCTGCCGCGTACGCTTCAAAGACAGCGTGGAATGGCTAGTACGATTTGCCGTGCCTGGAAGAGTTATGGACGGGGACGAGAAGCTACGTCGAGAAGTCGCAGTGATGTGCTTGGTCAGGGAAAAAACAAAGATCCCGGTGCCCAAGGTTCATGCTTGAGGACTGTCAAAAGACAATGCTCTAGGGTTAGGGCCCTTTATCATGATGGATTACATTCCGGGCGGCGAGTCCCTCGGTCATCTTTGGCGAGAAGGGCCTAAGGAACGGATACTAAGATCCGATATTAGCGAACGAGACCTGCGCACTGTGTATCGCCAGATAGCGGGTTTCTATCTCGAACTTTCAAAGTTAGAGTTTCCTAATGTTGGGTCTCTATCTATCAGGGACGATCAAAGTATCCACTCGGACTTAGGGCCGCCAACGCTTAAGATGCAAGAAATAGAGGCACATGGAGGAGTTAAAGTTGGAGGTATTGTAAAATCCAGTATCCGGCTCATTTACTTGATAACCTAAATCTAATAAGACAATCGCTCGACAACATTTCCATCCGCGAGAGGATACTTCGACTACGTCGCTAAGCAAGATATGGAACAATTATGCGAGCAGCCCAGCTCAGTCGACAGCGCTGATGATGCTCGGGCTAAATACAGCTTCCGCCATCAGGTTAAGGCCATCATTCCACGCTTTCTCGCTGACGAGTATAATCGGACCGGCTTCAGACTAATATGCGATGATTTTCGCTACGGGAACATGATTGTCAACAACGCAAGAGAACTTAAGATAATCGCGGTGATAGACTGGGAGTGGGCATACGCGGCGCCGTACCAGATGTTTTGCTCGGCGCCACGATGGCTTCTAATAAAGAATCCAATCTTCTGGGCAGCACCCAACGGTTCTGAATTTCATCGATACAACGCATGCCTAGAAATTTTTCTCGACGAGCTTAAACGGGAGGAGAGCGAAAGAAACAAGGTTACGCCGCAGCTTGGACTTCAGGATAGACTTTCTGACCTTATGCGGAAGTCTATGAGCGACGGCAAGTTCTGGTTCCACGAATTGATATATGACTGTTTCACAGCTGCCGACAACTCAGCCTGGAAGGCTATTTGCGATATCTACCCTAACACCGGTGAGCTCGCCCCTATCTCAGAGTCGGAGCTTGATAAGTTCGTTGGAAAGAAAATGAAGCAATTGGCGGCGTATAGGGCGGAGTGGGGCGCGATAAAGGCAAGGATCGATCGCGAACAGGCCGAATTGAATGAAAAGATGCAACAGATGGCGTTCGAGGATTTGGAAGCTAGCGAATGTAGTACGGAGTCATGATTTGAACTTGTAGATAGATATCTGAGGTCTGAATACATCGTTTGATTGCTGAAGATCCTGAACTTATTGTGGAAGACAGAAACTTCTGTCGGAGAAGAGCTGCATCAGCGATGCGAGGTGCTCCACCCTGACGCGCTGTTGCCCCTCTGAATTGGTAAATTTTCATTCGAGTATGTTGTGGCTGTCTGAGAGCCTTAGGCATCATTAGGAGAACGTTGTAGCGACGGTTACGAGGCCTGGGTGTGCCCAAAGTCCTGGCCGCTTCTGTCTCATCTCAGCTCTTTGAGCTACGTCTTGTATTTACACCTGCATCCGCCCGTGCGCGTCGTTTAGCCCCGAAATACTATTGCTTACCTAACCTATTGACACCGCCTATTCGCCCGCGCCTAACGGAACGCTGGCAGGTTGTTTCAACTTGCCTAGGTTTCGTCTCACTTGCGCCGGTTTGTGCGCTAACCTGCACACGAAATCGGATGAGCAGGGCTGCCGTTCTCTATAAAGCAGCGGCGGGCTGCACCTCCTATTTCTTTACAAAAATTTACTGATATCTTTCAAACATACACTTGCCTGCTTGTAAATCCCGTTCTACGACAAACATGGCAGCACCAGCTTCATTAGTAAGGCTAGACGAGAAAGAAGTCTACAGCACAGCGATCAGGATCTACAGTTGGACTCCTACCACTTTTATCAAACGTGAGGTTCCACCCGAGAGGCGACAAAAGAACCTGCGTGGAGAATGGATTATCGATCCCTTCGTCAAGGAACTCCTTCAGATCGAAGCTTCCGCACTCAAACTGCTCTCTAAAACAAAGATCAAGGTGCCTAAACTCATAGACAGCGGTCTAGACAAGAACGGGCTTGCTTTCGTTGAGACGGAGCTTTGGAGTGGCATCCCTGGGTCGCGTGTTAGGGAGGAATGCCGGATGCCAGACGGAGAGAAGCATGTCGACACCGGAGAATGTACCCTCTGCGAAGAAAAGGCATGGACCAACGCTGAAAGCTACATCATAAACGTGGTGCTCCCCGAGTTCGAGGAGCTAAGATCGAAGACGATGGGGCTCGATGGGAAGCTTGTCCCGCCACCTTGGGTGCGATACCACGATAATAGACCGACTTGGATTCCAAAGCCTTCCGATACCGACCGGTATGTCTTTTGCAACTGGGACGTTGGCCCTCACAATATGATGTTTGAGGATGGAACGTTGGAAGTCATTGGGGCATACGACTGGGAGGGCGCGGGCTTTTTGCCTCCAGAGTTTCAGTTTGTGAACCGTTCTCGGCAAGAATTTGACGCCCAGTTCGAGGATGTCCCGAAGGTTAGACGCCTCATAGAGCTCCTCGATGCGTAGAGTGCTGGCGACTTACTGGGTGAGTTGTGTTCTTTAGAAGGATAGTCTCTTATGTCCTTCCTCACACTCTCTATCCTCTTGATGTACAAAGCACACTAACACCTGGTAGTACTCTGATAGTAGTTTGGCGAACTCAATTTTTGATTGACTAGAGAGCTTCCATTACATACATACACATACGCGTGACCCTAAACGCGGGATAGGATTATGAAACAAAATGAGAGTGGTGTTCAATTTGCAGAAAACATCGACTTCTAAGACAATGTCCCATCACCAGCCCCATGTCAACCCGTCATTCACCCTGCCTATATAGCCTTCTGTCAGAATAGGCATGAGTAAATAGCACACTCCGATACGGGAAGGAGACCGTACAGAGAATTGCCATAGTAAAGAGCTGGCAGATGGCTTTAAGAAGCCAGGGTGCGAGTTTAGTGTGCAGGAGCTGAGGAGCTGCAGCCAGCCTGGTCGCAAGCCTGAAAAGGGCGTCGATTGCAGTTGGTGCACGTATAAGCAGAGCTGTGTTGCGGCTGCTTGCAATGCCAACAATCCATGTAGCGTGGCGGAACGGGGTTAGGTGGTCCAGTGCCGCTCATGTTAACTACTTAGTGGATAATGTCCTTCAGAGGGCTTGGGTTAGTTCAAAGATCTGCTACTAAACTCTGATAAAACTTACGGCGCGATGGGGAGAGCTCTTGTACTGAAAGATCGGTTAATTTGAAGACCGAACGATGTGTTTAGAAGTTGTGTCTTCTTTTCCTGTCTCGGGCGTCTGAGCAGTCATTTATATTTGAAAAGAGTGGGGTTAGAGTATTGTTTCTGTCAGGTCGGGCAGATGCGGGCTCCATTCCGGCATCTAATCTTCCCGCAAAATGCACAAGGAACGGCTGGATTGGCGGCGCGTATTCAAGGCTGGCCAGCAGGCAGCCATGGGCGTTGGATTACTATGGGCTTAACACAGATGTGGTCGTTTGGCGATTGGTCTGGATTGGAGCTGTTCGCACGCGGCACAGCAGGGTTGTCCTGCGGCACGGTACCGTTGGATTACTATGGGCTTAACACAGATGTGGTCGTTTGGCGATTGGTCTGGATTGGAGCTGTTCGCACGCGGCACAGCAGGGTTGTCCTGCGGCACGGTACCGTTGGATTACTATGGGCTTAACACAGATGTGGTCGTTTGGCGATTGGTCTGGATTGGAGCTGTTCGCACGCGGCACAGCAGGGTTGTCCTGCGGCACGGTACCGTTGGATTACTATGGGCTTAACACAGATGTGGTCGTTTGGCGATTGGTCTGGATTGGAGCTGTTCGCACGCGGCACAGCAGGGTTGTCCTGCGGCACGGTACTCAGGCTACTTTTATTGTAGCACATGTAATTCAGCAGCATGGTAGGCCACCAGCAGCCAATGCTCCAACAACCGATCATCACCGTTGGTTTTTTCAACCTCCATGGAAGAGGGAGTGGGTTGTTGACTCTGAGCAAAGTAGAGACAATTGAATCCCGTTTGAGCCAGTACGCTTCATTTCCTCTTGGGGCCAATCGCACAGCTACCGGCTCAGCCACGAAGATCCAAACGATTCCCCCCCTTAGGGGATCGAAATCTGCTTGCTAAAAGCAGAGATAGGCCATGTTTGTGATGGGTAACAACGGTGTTGATTATGAAAAGGGCTCCGCTTGCCCTGGAATGTAGTTGGGAATGTAGTACAACGTGACTGAATTGTTCGGAATGGCTGCGACGGTGCTGGTGAGGCGGTTCGGCATGGGTGAGACGCGTCAGATGGTGACGGTGAAGTGGTTCGGTGTATATACGTGTTCGATGACAGCGGCGAGGTAGGTCAGCTTGATAGAGGAGAGGTGGATCGGCTTGATGTAGGTGGTGCAAATGATGATAAAGGTTAACTTGCTCCTGCTGCTATCCTCCAAGTTGACGGCCCCTCTTGAACGGAGCGATGAGTCGTCTTCATATCGCGGAATAACATTCATCCGATCGCCTAAAGTCATAGCCTCGCGGGCAATAACTCGTTACCTTAATCATGCACGGTTGGAAGCCCGGAATCTGGATTACCTGTCGGGTCTAGGTCGATACACACACTCTGTTCGTCTACATGTGTAAGGACAATGGTGAGGTTGCTGTTGCCTAGCTTAGACATGGATGAGTAGACTAGAACAACTTAACCTGATTTACAAGGTTTATAACGAGCAGGTATTAGCCTTCCTTTTCAGAAGCTTGGATGACATAATCAGGCGTCTCGCTTAGCGCACAGGCCAGCATCTAATATACGTCTACTAATTGCCTCTCTTACTTCTTTCCTTTACTATAAAACTTTAACAAACAACTATAGTAAATAGTAGAAAAGTTAACTAAAGTTAGAAGTTTAAATAAATAAGAAAAATAAAAGTGTAACGTACCTAACAGGTTAGCCGGCCACACAGGTTAGCCGGCCACTTTTGCCAAGCCTCTACTAAAACCACCCTATTCTAGCGCAAAACAGCCCACTTTAGCCTTGTATAAAGTAATACAACACAAGATATTATTTAGAGTCTACTTCTACTACTTTCTTACACATATGTAAGTTATGCCTAGTCTAATTACACTGCCTATATTGCCTTTAACTTAGCTTACTTTCTTTAGCGCACACTTATGTCTTTAGCTTCTTTCTATTACTACGCGCTTTAAACTTCTTTAAAGTAGTTAAATAAGCCCTATTCTTAACTATTAAAGTCTTTTTTACTTAAATTTACTTTTTTTTATGTAATCTATGTTATGTAGTAGCTTTATTTACTGCTTAAAGCTTTATAATCTTCTTTTACACTAACACTAGCTTATGCGTAATAATTACTACTTTTTTTAAAACTTTTTTAAAGTCTTTTACTATAAATGTTAGTAAGCTATTTATATACTTTTAAATTTTTACTTTTATAAGCATTAATTATAACTTAAATTTAAAAGTATTACTTAAGGTTTATAACTACTAGAGCTTATTATTAATAAGTAGTAGTAGTAATAAAGTACATAACTAGATGTTAAAAGCTATTTTAACTTATTTTAAGTTAAATAAAACTAAACTAGCGCTTTAAAACTCTTCTTAGATATTACTAAAAGTAATTACTACATTATAAGTGTGTATAAAACATAGTAAGAACTTAAGTTTTATAATATAAGTAATTTAGCTATGTATAAGATTTTTCACTTAGCACTTATATACTTTTTCTAAAAGGGTAAAATAACCTACATTAAAAGGCTATAAAAAGTGTAATAAGTGTAAAGGCATATAAATAGTAATAATCTTATTTTTTTTATAGTACTGCTAGAAATTAAGTAAGTTATAGCTTTTATAGCTATTAATAATAAAAAGCTAATAAGCACTTATAACTTTTTTTTATATGCTTATTAAAGTGCTTTAACTACTATAGCCTAAGCTTATTTATTATTTAGCTATTTTTAGAAACTATAATAACCTAGTTCTAAAGCAGATTCTTTTTTTTATACTAAGTAAAAAAGTAATAGCAGCTTTTAAAGATAATAAAAAGTAAAATAGCTTACTTTATTATGTTAATGCTCTAAATAACTGTTATTTACTTCTTATTACTTTACTATATTACCTTTAGCTGTTCTTATCTTTCTAAAGCTGTAATAACTACTCTAGTTAATATCTAGCTTATTATAAAGCCTAACTTATTAAAGTTATAACATACCTAACAGGTTAGCTAGCTACACAGGTTAGCTAGCCACTTTTGCTAAGCCTCTACTACACTCTACCTATCTATATAATGCCTTAACAACAACACTAGATTAAATTTTCTAAAGAACATTAGATACAGCTTACTTTTTAGGCTTTTAAATAAAACTTAAAACTCTTCTTATAACACGCTGCAGCTATCTATAATATCTTTTATATAACACTAAGTAATTAACGCGCTAGACAGCCTTTAGAAGTAAAATACTAGCTTAAATTAAGAAATCTAACTAAGCTTAAAAAAAAGTTATTGTTAAGTATATACTTAAGCTTATTACACACAGATTTCTCCTTAGGCTTACAGCTATAGCTAATATAGCTAATTCCTTGCGTATAGAGCGTAATCTAGGCTAGGTTAGCTTAAACTAGCCTAGTATATAGGTTAAGCACTGCCCTAAGTTTATAATAAAGTTTAATTATAAGTATAATTATAAAAAAGCGCTTTATAAGAATCTAGAGGTTATTTAGGGCTAGTTTTACCTAGTAGCTAACATAAAAGCTAAGTATAGTATCTAGAATAAAGACATATATAACTTTAATAAGTTAGGCTTTATAATAAGCTAAATATTAACTAGAGCAGTTGTTACAGCTTTAGAGAAATAAGAACAGCTAAAGGTAATATAGTAAAGTAATAAAAAGTAGACAACAGTTATCTAAAGTATTAACATAATAAAGTAAGCTATTTTACTTTTTATTATTTTTAAAAGCTACTATTACTTTTTTACCTAGTATAAAAAGAAAAATCTACTTTAAAACTAGGTTATTATAGTCTCTAAAAACAGCTAGATAATAAATAAGCTTAGGCTACAGTAGTTAAAGCACTTTAATAAGTATATAAAAAAAAGGTTATAAGCGCTTATTAGCTTTTTATTATTAATAGCTATAAAAGCTATAACTTACTTAATTTTTAGCAGTACTATAAGAAAAATAAAATTATTACTATTTATATACTTTTACACTTATTATACTTTTTATAGCCTTTTAATGTAGGTTGTTTTACGTCTTTAAAAAAAAGTATATAAGCACTAAGCTAAAAATCTTATAGTTATATAACTAAATTACTTATATTTGTCACGATTGTGCACGAGTAAGGTTATAGAGCTTTACAGAGGTCTAGTTTAATTACTACGTGAGGTATTATAGTAGGTATAAGACGTTGTGTAAGGAACAGAAAGGTTTAGAAAAAAATTAGTAATTAAATACTTAGCTTAAAAGTCTAAGCGCTTTAAGTATAAATTAAGCTTATTTTAAGTTTAGTTAGTGTTAAAGCAGTTTATGCTTAAGTTTATGTCTATGTTATGTTATATTTATGTTAGACATGCACTAATAATACTTTAGTATATGTCTAATACAGTTATGTCTAGGATCTAGGGAGGATACTGTAACAGTACTCCCCTTTTTATTAAGAAAGGAATCCTTTACATTAGTAGTTCTAGCATTAAGTTGTTTTTATTAGGGTACAGGTTTAGTTTAGATAGGTATTAAGTGTAGAATTAGGTTACTATAAAGTTCTTTTATAAAGCTTCTACAGGTTTCTACAATAGTTTATTATATTTAGTCTATTTTATAAGGTATTTATAAATATATTTCTTTTTATTAAACTAAATTTATTTAACATCTTTTATAACATATTTTAGTTTATTATTTATAATAATAAGTTTAGGTAGCAGGTTTAGCTATTTAGGTAGATAGTTAAATTTAAAGGCTACTTAGCGCAGCAATAATATGTAGAACACAGGGTGTATCTTTATGCTGTTAGGTAGGATTAATTAGTAAGCATGTAATAAAACTATATAGGCTACTATAAAGAAGCTAAAGTTCTTCTAATTAAGTTTCTTTAATTATTAGTTTATTTAGATATTTCTAGCGTCTAGCTAGACCTTCTTGCTAGCTGCATACATAGGGGCAGAGGTTTAAAATTAGTTTATGTACTCTTATTAAAAAGCTTAAGCCTATGTAAGCTTTTTATAAATATATTTAAATATATTTTAGATTTTATTAATAAGTCTATTTACATTTATTACTTATATAAATTAATAAGTTAGTTAGAGAGTATTTAAAAGTAGTTTAAATCTTATTTAAAAGTAGTATCTATAGTTTACTAAAAATAAAGATACTTATGTTAATTTAGATGTTATGTTATTAGCTTTAAACTATGCTATAGCTAACTATTTTACCTAGTTATTTTACTAGTAGTTTATGTACACTTATAAGACTTATTTTATTACAGCATTTATATTCTTAGTCTAGCTATTAGTCTCTAGGTAAAAAGCTATAGATAAATAAGAGATAATTTAAAGCTGTTTATAGAGTTTGTTCTAGAAGGCTAAGGCAAACTGTGTACCTCTGTCTAATATAATTATGTTAGGCAGGCTATAGTAAACTTATACATATTAGTAGAATAACTAGGCTATATTAGGGGCAGTTATAGAGGAACATAGTATTAGGTGTTAATACTAAGTTAAGTAATTAATAACTACTATAATATTTATATACCCTTTAAATAAAGGTAGGTTTATAATAAAATTAATTAATATATTTTTTTAAGCTTGTTTAGAAATTAAAAGCAGTTTAAGTAAGCTATTATACCTTTTTTAAAAGGCTTTTACTTTACAGCAAGTATAGCAACATAATATGTATTAGTGTACAGTATAGAACATGCAGGGCTAGTAGTACTCTCTCTGTAGTAGGTTAAGAGTCTTTTCTCTGCCTAGGTGTTCTTTAACAGGCAAGTTATGTATAATTTAAAGTAGTTTAATTCTTAGTTTGTTAAAATTAAGAATTATAAGTTAGTTATAGTAATATAGCTTACTATTTTAGTTTTTATAGTTAGCTAGTGTTACCTTTTTTAACTAACTAGCGCTGTTTTAGAGCAGGTCTAAAGTTTTTTAAATAAATTTATTATTTAGATACTTATTAGTAATAATTTAATTAATTAATTATTTTATTTTATTTAGGTTAAGGTCTAAAAATAGCTTAAGTTAAAGTAAAGTTTAGTGTTAAGCCTTTTACACTTCTTTCTAAGTAAAAATGTCTTAGAATTGCCTTATAAAAGCATCTAGTTTCCCTCTATCTTATCTAGAATAATAAGTAATTTTAAAATTAAAATAAAATAAGTATTTAAACTAATAAGCTTATTAGTAGCTAAGTTGTTTTATAGTTACAAAGTACTATAAGTTCTTATAGTTAGATAGGACCTATATTAAATGCGCTGCACTTTCTAGTTTAGGTTGCTATTATTTAAAGCAGTGTACTATAGTAAGTAATTTTTTATTATAAATCTTATAATTACCTTCTGCAGGACTTATTCTTTTTAAAAAGTATGTAATAGGCCTAATAGTCTTATCTAGCTTAGTCTAGAAAAAAACTTCTGCTACTATGTAGTCTAAGGCATTAGCTTCTACAAGTATTAG